GAATAGTGGCGCTATATAGTTAGTGAATTGTGATTTTAGCTGCTATATACACTCCGTGGGTACTCCTTATAACCACCATACATAATTAAACACCAAAAAGAACAGAGAAAACTTTGGATTTAGGTGAATATTTGTATCACCCAGATCTTTAGTTTCTCATGAGTGTAGCGCTAAATATATAGTGAAATTTTCAGTGAAAGGACAGTGTTAAAACACGCACTTACCCTATATATTGTGCTTTAGTTTTCTTAGTGATATACCAAAAAAAGAGAACATAGAGAAAGTACAGATAATAGTGTAGTATGTTAAATAAATATCTAATAAAGTCCTTTAGTTGTGAATGATGAATTGAAATAAACTCACATTTTTTTAGAGCCCTTTTACAGTTATAAGGCTCTAAACTTCCAGGTGTCTGTGTCTTTTTAGGGTAGATCACACGACCCGTCTCTCAAGGTGAAAAAGAGCGTAAATTCCTCTCCACGTTGCATAGAAAAAAGACACAGATATCCCCAATCTAAATGTAGTATTTTAGATACCGATATAAATCAATGTAAATAAAATACAGAATTGCTCACCTTCTTTAGAGCCTGTGGTAACTGGCTCTAAGTATTTTTAGCCTAGTGTCAATTAATGGGGATGACACTACCCCTTCCTGGAATCACTTGCGCAGAGTGTAATTCAATGGTGGATAAAAAAATATATATTTATTTAAGAAACTATTAAAAATGTATACATACTTTTAGAAAATAATAAAAACAAATAAATGTAATACAAATGTATTGAGTGGTCTGCTAACAGGTCCACCTAGTTAGCCAAAACGCGTTTCACCGAAAAACGGCTTCCTCAGTCAGCTCCTGATGAAAACAGGGCCACCTCTTCATTGGCCGGCAGGGGAGATCAAAGGATCTCCCCTGTCGGCCGGGCATACTGGGCAGCGCGGTAGGGCCCCCATGCCTGTGGGGCCCACGGGCACCTGCCCAGCGTGCCCATGCACACACACACACACACACACACACACTCACTTCCAGAGAGAGACACACACACACTCACTTCCAGAGAGAGACACACACACACTCACTTCCAGAGAGAGACACACACACACTCACTTCCAGAGACAGACACACACACACACACTTTCAGAGACACACACACACACACACACTTTCAGAGACACACACACACACACACACTTTCAGAGACACACACACACAGAGACACACACACACATTTCAGAGACACACACACACACACATACTTTCAGAGACACACACACACACTTCAGAAACACACACACACACTTTCAGAGACACACACACACTCACTTTCAGAGACACACACACACACTTTCAGAGACACACACACACTCTCTCAGAGACACACACACACCACTTTCAGAGACACACACACACTCACTTTCAGAGAGACACACACACACACTCACTTTCTGTAGACACACACACACACACTCACTTTCAGAGACACACACACACTCACTTCTCAGAGACACACTCACTTTCAGAGACACACACACACACACACTCACTAGAGACACACACACACTCACTTTCAGAGAGACACACACACACACACCTCACTTCAGAGACACACACACACACTCACTTTCAGAGACACACACACACACTCACTTTCAGAGACACACACACACACACACACTTTCAGAGACACACACACACACACACTCACTTCCAGAGACAGACACACACACACTCACCTCCAGAGACAGACACACACACACTCACTTTCAGAGACACACTCTACTTTCAGAGACACACTCACTTTCAGAGACACACTCACTTTCAGACACACACACACACACACTTTCAGAGACATACACTCACTCACACACTCACTTTCAGAGACACACACACACACACTAGAGACACACACACACTACTTTCAGAGACACACACACACACACACTCACTTTCAGAGACACACACACACACTTCACTTTCTCACACATTCACATTCTCAGAGACACACACACACACAACACACACTCTACTCTCAGAGACACACACACAGAGACACACACACACACACACTCACTTTCAGAGACACACACACACACACTCACTTTCAGAGACACACACACACACACTCACTTTCAGAGACACACACACACACTCACTTTCAGAGACACACACACACACACACACACACTCACTTTCAGAGACACACACACACACTCACTTTCAGAGACAGGCACACACACTCACTTCCAGGCACACACACTCACAAATTAATTGTATTTCTTATTGCTCCTACCTTTAGAAGTCCTCTGGGGCCTCTCCCAGGGGTCCAGTGTCTTCGATGATCTTCCTGCTCCCTTGCGCAGTTTAGTGATGCGGGGCCGGAATGAAGTCATATTCCGGCTCCAGGCATCACCAGAGAGGGCGCGCGAGGGAGCAGGAAGATCATCAGCAGAGGCAGTGCTCCCTCGCCGCCGCCTGCCTCCTTCCTCACGCGGCCAGTATATTACTGCAGAGTAGGCACTGCCATCTGGGACAGGCAGGTGCCTACTCTGCCTTGATACCGGTGCGCCCTAGGTGGCCACCTGCTGGGCTCCCTGTGACGGGCCATCGGCCGGCTCCGCATGGCTCCCCCCTTCTCCTGGCGCCAGGGACCGGCCTTGCAGCGGACGTTTTTGTAATTATTTAGGGAGGCCTGAAGGGTAATTGCCTCCCTGGCCCCCGGCCCAGCCCGCTCCAGCATGCAGGTCTAGGAACATCAGCACCTGATAGGCATCTCTGATCACTCACTAAGCTCCAAATTCAAAGCTCACAACTTGTAATAGTTGTTAAAAAATAAAAGAATAAAAATGTAGTAATAGTATATGACTAAACATTGTATAAGCCAACGTACCCCATGTTTAGCAGGTCTCATCCAAGCATCCTAATGCCTGAGATTAACCCACTTTCTTAGGACATCCTTCCTCCTGAGACTCTATGCAGTGCAAGTTTAAATAGGGCCTTGAAATGAGGCGCCTGTGATAGGGAGGGATGCAAAACTAAGGGAGTTGGCCTGGAGCAAAACCAAGATGGCTGCACACATTATAATAGTACTGCTGGGACCAATTCATCCAATAAACAAGATCCATTAACTAACTCACTAAACACCAGACTCCCATCAGCCAGATCTGGACCCCGGGAAGCTACCCTGTTGCAACAAAAAATATGGAAGTAGTGGGCTGACTAAAATATGTAAATTATAAATAATTTATGTATCAGTGTCAAAATGTGTGTGTAGATATGTGTACATGTGTGTAACTTTGTCAGATTGTGTGTGCCAGTGTGTTTGTATCAGTATGTATGTGTGTCAGTGTATGAGTCCTTACATACCAGCATTCAAAAGCCAACACTGTACACAAACACTACTTATAAACATACCCTTGCAGTCAAACGCCAACACTACATCCAAACACAGCACTGCAATCTAACACCAAAACTACAGAGAAATGCATACCTGCAACACTGCATGCATACATACACACCACAGCATTCAAAAAGGACCAACAATTACACTCCTACACACATACTCCATACAAAACATGCTGACATTAAAACACAAAAAACACTGCTCATAAGTACAACCCTGCAAAGATCTGCAAACGATATATCCCCAGTTGGCAAATCATTGGAGTTTCACCAAAGATAGGTATCTACTTTTTGGCCACCCTTGTGCTAGAGGGAGGGACCAAATTTGTAAAAAAAATTCTTGCACCAGGGCCCTCTGAATTAGCTCTGCAACAGGGTTAGTTGCAGAGAGACACAGCATGATCTTAATGTCCCCCAATGGTTGTAGGCCTTTGAAACAGGTTGGTTACACCATATGACAGCGGGGTTTATGTAGGTACTTCAGAGAGATTACTCCCAGAGCTCCAAGGTTATTCTGTAGATTTTGTGTTTATAAACTAAACTAAATACAAAGAAAGCTCTGAACATACAGTTTAACCTATTATTCATTCCTATCATTCACATACTACTACAGTCAGGCGTTCATGTATAGTGTTGTAACCAGCAATTATAGGTAATAATTTATAACTTAAAGGTTTATTTCAACCACGTCAGTGATTTGAAGTGGTCATGAAGGTAGGAGTATGTCCCCTTGGGCATGCGTTCTGAGCCAGTAATGGGTCTACTGAGCAGTTTCGCTATGAGAAGTCTGTGACTGGACAGCATGCGGCCCCAGTGACATCAGAGGGGACGCAGCAGTCAGCACAAGGAGCTTCACCAATGAGTAAAAACCTTTATTTTTTACATGTTATGCACCAAATGGAGGTAGGGAACCCTTGCCATAGGGATTAATAGGGCATATTACACAGAAAAAGTCCTCACTCTCCAAAGGGTTAAAGTAACCCTTTAAGTTTGCAACTATCAAATAACGCTCACTTCAGTTGTATTATTAGAGAGGTTGAAGTCCTAGTTGGAAATTATAAATTTACTTTTATTATGATTTCAATATAAAACCTTAGAAGACACTGAAGCAATCAGTACTTCAGTTGTACTTTTATAGCCTAGCCTGACAGTAGAATTGTACAAGATAGATTGTCAGTGATCTAATGGACAGATTCAAATTACTTTACAGTACACTGGATTTGATGATTTAGCTTCATTAGATTTGGATGTCTGCCTAATTAGACGATTAGGAAGAGTGATGCTATTTGGGGTTTCCTAGCCTGTGATAAGTCAACACCTTTCCCATTTTTGTACTATTTCACTGTGAACTGTATTTGTTTCAATAATTAGTTTTCTAATAGAACGTTTTAATTAGGGGTTTCTCTTTACCAATCTCATTTTTAGAGGTGTATTCTTTACCATTCCTACCCAATGAGACATTCTATTAAAAAAACAAAATCTCTATCAGCCATGGAAGGTTAGGGTCATGCTGATCAGACGATTGCCATCTCTGCTTGTTGCCAAAAACTGGGAAGTGGAAGGCAATATAACTGCAGTAACCAATTGCAAAACAGAGATGGGTTTACCTGCTTTTGCCTTTCTTTAAATATCTCTGCCTGTGCATTGAGCTCTTCTTGCATCCTCAACCGCGCTGCAGCCATTGCTTCCTGTCTTCTTACCACCTCCTCAGGATCTTTAAGAAAATTGAAAAAGATACATAATATTGAATATTAAAACTACCATTCTTATCATCCTCAGCCAATGATAATAGGATATGTCTGCAAACATCAGTGAGCCATAGTTTGTCACTATATGTTTAATGGTAGCAGCCTAGAGCTTTGGTGACAACAGATGGAGATACAAGGAGACTGTTTTAAAGTAGTGTCAGCTAATCTTTGGAACTACTTTTCCCATGATACTAAGCCAGCCACAACAGCTGTCTGGACATCGTGCAGCTGCACTGCCAAAGGTTAGCAATAAATGTACAATGGTGACTCATGCTCAGCTGAAGATGAAAGTCTAGATTTATTCAATGATGAAATAAGTACAAAAATAAGAAGTCTTTTAAGGCAAAGTTTTCCTTAATACTCTGGAGTTAAGGGCGTATTTGAAATAACATTAAACTTCTTCTGGTCCTATTATTCTATGAGCAAGGCAAAATAGAGAATAATTTGCTTTGCTCCTTTGCAGAATAAAACAGAGAACATGTGTGGTGCCAGAACAAATGAGGGAGGGAAACAGTACTCTAATAAACACGTCTACACATGTACAATACAAATTGTCTTAACAGCCTCATCTAGGAACAAGGGTGAAAATATAGTGTCAGGGTATAATATGTCTGTTTCAGTGTTATTACTGGGCACTTTATTTTAAAAGAAAATACCAAACCTGGTCTAGATGTGCGTGGAGTTCCCAGGACTTGTCGGAATTTCTCACTCAGCTTGTGTTTTAGAAGCATCATAACCACACAGCACAACAGGATGTACCAGCCATAATTAGAGAAAACAGCACCCACTGGAGGACGAGAAATAGACATCATGAATACTCTGCACTCACAATACACACGTACAAAGATGCAAATTAGATATCAAATTACGTTAAAGCAAAAGAATTGGTCTGACAGTAGAGAGGTCCAACCTTGGCAGCCAGCTATTGTAGGACTAAACTTTCCATTATGTTCTGTAATAACACTGGTAGACCATAAAGAAGCCGATGACACTCTCTGCTCTTCCTCAACTCTTGCACATAAGACTAGCAACCGAAAATATAAAAGTTTAAGGAACACTATAGGGTCAAGGAACACAAACATGTATTCCTGACCCTATAGTGTTAAAACCACCATCTAGGTCCCCCCTAAATATAGTAAAATATAGTATGCTGCTGCTGGCTCTGCCCCCTGATCTGCCTGCTTGGCTGACATCATCAGAAGTGGTGGTCTGAGACAATCACAATCCTTCCCCATAGGGTTGGCTGAGATTGTCAAGGAGGCAGGCCAGGGAGAGAGCCAGCACTGTGCAGCACTGCTCTATGAAGCACCTGTAGCAGCCATCTGAGGAGTGGCCAGTGGAGGTACCACTAGGCTGTAATGTGAGCACTGCATTTTCTCTAGGAGGGAGGGGTGGGTGGGAGGAAACAGTGTTTACTGCAAAAAGCCTGAAGGGATTGATTCTACTCCCCGGAACAAATACAATAAGCTGTGGTTGTTCTGGTGACTATAGTGTCCCTTTAAAGGAATATGCACATTGAGCCCATAATGTTTCCTATTTGCCAGCTGCAGGCAAAGAAATAAAGGTAAAATAATCAACAGAATGATGGTCTCCTGAGTTCTGGCATTGATGTGAAAGACTATGAAGATGGCTTCTGCTGGCCAAAGAACACACTAATGTCTGCATCAAACAATATACATGGGGGGGGGGGGCGGAGTCTGACCGCTGAACCGAGCAGAAGCAGGGGACACGAGCTCCTGCTCGACGGGCAGGAAAAGCGGCACAAACGAGGGCTAAATAGCCCAAAGACCTGCCAGGGTGCATCACCCACGTCGGGGGTGCACCCCTGAACCAAATGAGACTTTTTTGGAGCTCGTAGGAGCTATATAAGTGGGACACCAAGCGCGGCCTATAGAAGCCGGGGCGAGGCGGCCGCTCTCTCCGACACCGGACACCCCAAGCAACCAAGCAGGTTTCCAAACCCCCCCCCTTTGGACCGGTGGGGGATATCCCGGTCCCCACTGGGCAGACAGACCAGGCAGGCTGATCTGACCCTTGGCTACGTCGCCGGCAGGAACGCTGGACCACCAAGGTACACACAAAATGGCTGCCCAGCAGAAGCCAAGATTGGCGGGCGCACACGCCACACCACCCGCTGGCTGCATGGAGGGCTTCGACAGGCTCTGCAAGGGCCTCTGGACACTACTTCGCCACCGTGGAGTGTCCTGCAACCAGGCAGCCAGAACGATCGCCTCATGGATCTGCCCTGTGACCCGCAGACGCCATTACAGATACCCACTCCAAGCCAACAGGCCATCTAAGTGGCCACGAAGGCGCCAAAAACCGTCATGGCGGACCATAGTACCAGGCTGCCGGAACCCACGCACTCGCACCTATGCACACAGCGGCTGGATCAACGAGACATCCCTGCAGCCACACCACCTACTCACAACTTTACGCCCGGAGAAGATGGCTGAGCACCACGTGGCTGTACAGAAGGACGCCTCACACGGAAACACCACAGATGGAACTAATCCAGGGGGCCCCACTGGGCAGCGAGCTTTATATGGACACAGCAAGTATCTGCCACCGATGCCCGTCACTGGCATAGGCTGAGGGACTCCTGGCCTGCATAACTAAGCCCCCAGCTTGGGCCCAAAGCAGTAGTACACACCCCCCCCCTCACTACGACCTCATGCTAAATAGTATGCGTTGGCACCCTGTGCCTTTATGAATCCCACCTTAGCAATAACAGATCACCTGCCAGGCCACCCAGTGGAATCTCATTTCATGTAGATATGTCCTGTTTGCCTTTACAATCTAAGAATTAGCTGCTGACTCCACCTTGTCTACAATGTGTTCGAGAGATCATATAAATACAATGTGTGACTAATCTCTAACTGTTTCATATCTTATATTTTGCAATGTGCTAGCCGTTAAGCAACTATTACCTGCTCCCCCTATTGTTAGCACAGATAGATCAAACATGTTTCTATGCCGTATGCATATCACTTCTGTTTTATACTATATAAAAATGTGCAGTCATATTATTTGCCATGTTTGAAAATGTATGATTTTGCGTGTAACTGCTGTTGTGGCAACACACGCTCGTTGTTAAAACATGCACAACAAAAATAAAGAATTATAAAAAAAACAAAAAAAAAAAAAACAATATACATGGGAGTAATCCATGATTTGATTTACCCCCCTCTCCTCAAACCTTTTCAGTTCTAAAGCTCAATTAAATTAATTTTATTTAAATAATTAAAAACAAGCTAAATATCACACATGAAGAAAGATTATATATAAAAAAAAAACAAAAAAAAAACACCAGCTTTCAATGCTCAGCAGAGGGACTGAAATGGGTTCTTCCACTTTTTGTTTGTCCTCATACTCTAAAATCAGGCTTCCCCAAACTACAGCCCCCCAGATGTTGCTGAACTACAACTCTGATTCTATGAATGAAATAGATAGGCTGAGAATCATGGGAGTTGTAATTCTGCAACATCTGGAGGCCCTAAGTTTGGGGAAGCCTGCTCTAAATAAATTGAATAAAGGAGAGCATTTTAGCTTCCTTCTATTTTCACATTTTATAAATTCACTTTTCAGTTTTAACAGTGAAAACATGTAGACCGGGGTGTCCCGACATAAAATAATTTCATTATAAAGATTGGGGCCCTTATCAGGCATTGGTAAACTCACAGGAAGTTTCAGAAAATAAAACTGAACGGAAAAAAAACAGAGGCAAAAATAGCAGATCAGAAAAAATTCTCTAACTCTGTTCAATGTCCAAACATGCCTACATTTGCTTCAGTTACACTGTTTGGATTTATAGCGCACAAATTCTGAGTTTGGTCAACTACCCAGAGTGTCTCACCATAGTCTCTCATTCTGTCACAGTGTGTGGTGGCTGTGCTTGGTGTGTGTGTGTGTACACAGTGCAGGCTGCCTGTATGTGAAGTGTGTGTGTGTACACAGTGTGGGCTGCCTGCATGTGAAGGGTGTGTGTGTGTGTGTGTGTGTGCGTGTACACAATGTGGGCTGCCTGTATGTGAAGTGGGTGTACACAGTGTGGGCTGCCTGCATGTGAAGTGTGTGTGTGTATACACACAACGTGGGCTGCCCGTATGTGAAGTGTGTGTGTGTATACACACAACGTGGGCTGCCCGTATGTGAAGTGTGTGTGTGTATACACACAACGTGGGCTGCCCGTATGTGAAGTGAGTGTGTACACAGTGTTTGACTGCATGTATGTGAAGTGTGTGTGTGTACAGTGTGGGCTGCCTGTATGTGAAGTGTGTCTGTATACAGTGTGGGCTGCCTGTATGTGAAGTGTGTGTATACAGTGTGGGTTGCCTGTATGTGGAGTGTGTGTGTATACAGTGTGGGCTGCCTGTATGTGAAGTGTGTGTGTATACAGTGTGGGCTGCCTGTATGTGAAGTGTGTGTGTATGCAGTGTGGGCTGCCTGTATGTGAAGTGTGTGTGTGTGTGTGTATACAGTGTGGGCTGCCTGTATGTGAAGTGTGTGTGTGTATATATACAGTGTGGGCTGCCTGTATGTGAAGTGTGTGTGTGTATATATATACAGTGTGGGCTACCTGTATGTGAAGTGTGTGTGTGTATACAGTGTGGGCCGTCTGTATGTGAAGTGTGTGTATGTGTATACAGTGTGGGCTGCCTGTATGTGAAGTGTGTGTGTATACAGTGTGGGCTGCCTGTATGTGAAGTGTGTGTGTGTATACAGTGTGGGCCGTCTGTATGTGAAGTGTGTGTGTATACAATGTGGGCTGCCTGTATGTGAAGTGTGTGTGTGTACACAGTGTGGGCTGCCTGCATGTGAAGGGTGTGTGTGTGTGTACACAGTGTGGGCTGCCTGTATGTGAAGTGGGTGTACACAGTGTGGGCTGCCTGCATGTGAAGTGTGTGTGTGTGTGTATATACAGTGTGGGCTGCCTGTATGTGAAGTGTGTGTGTGTGTGTGTATACAGAGTGGGCTGCCTGTATGTGAAGTGTGTGTGTGTATACAGTGTGGGCTGTCTGTATGTGAAGTGTGTGTGTGTGTGTGTGTGTGTGTGTGTATACAGTGTGGGCTGCCTGTGTGTGAAGTGTGTGTGTGTATACAGTGTGGACTGCCTGTATGTGAAGTGTGTGTACAGTGTGGGCTGCCTGTATGTGAAGTGTGTGTGTACGTGTGTGTACAGCCTGTATGTGACGTGTGTGTGTGTACACAGTGTGGGCTACCTGTATGTGTGTATACAGAGTCACTCTGAAGACATGCTTAAAGGGACACTATAGTTACTAAAACAATTTAAGCTTAATGAAGTAGCTTTGGTGTGTAGATCAGGGCTTGACAAATTTGTTTGGAATCTAGGAGCCAGTCATTTTAAACGAGAAAAATGCAATTCTTAAAGGGACACTATAGTCACCAGAACCACTACAGCTTGATGTAGTTGTTCTGGTGTCTATAGCCTGTCACTGCAGGCTTTTCAGTGAAAACATTGCTGCTTAGTAACACCTCTAGTGACAGTCAATCACGACAGCCACTAGAGAGTGTCCTGGTTTACTGCTGAAGAGTGTTCAGCACCCACGTTCAGTGTCTCCAAGCTCTGCATGGAAGCGTTGAATGTTCCTCATAGAGATTGATTAATTTAATGCATCTCTATGAGGAGATGCGGATTGTTACATTTGCTGCGCATGCAGAAGATCCTCCCAATGCTTTCCTAAGGGAAAGCATTGGCTTAGCTGAGATCATAAATATTGATAATCTCAGGCATGAAGGTGGGACCAGCCGTGGCAAAACTGGCACGGCATGGGAAAAAACGCGAGTAAAAACACCTTCCTCATGCAATCAGAGGGGGCAGGTACCTAAACACACACACGCTGACAGGCTCATACACATACACTCACTCACTCTGATTACTGCTCCCTTAGGCGGCTAGCTCCATGCTGCTTCAGCCAGGAGATGTATACAGTGTGGGCTGCCTGTATGTGAACGGTGTGTGTGTGTATACAGTGTGGGCTGCCTGTATGTGAAGTGTGTGTGTGTGTGTGTGTGTGTTGGCTCTTCATTGAGATTGATTAATTAAATGTATCTTTAATGCATCTCTATGAGGAGATGCGGATTGATAAATTTTCTGCACATGCACAAAATCCTCCCAATGCTTTACTAAGGGAAAGCATTGACTTAGCTGAGATCATAAAGATTGATAATCTCAGCCATGAAGGTGGGACCAGGCATGGGAAAAAACGTGAGTATGTTACTACAGGACATAGGAGGCGCGTTCACAGTGCCTCCTATCTCCTGTCTGCAGATGGCACGTTTGATGTCTTCACCCAAGCGTGAAAACGTCAAACGTGAAGATGAATGCGAATTATGCATTCACTGATTCGGAAATCCCTCTGGTGGCAGTCTGAGTGACTGCAACTGGAGGTGTTCCTAGCTTCCAATGTAAACACTGTATTTTCTTTGTTTACATGAGAAAGGCTGCAGGGAGCTATAGTTCTCATCTGAACAACCTCATTAAGCTGAAGTTGGTCATGTGACTATAGTGTCCCTTTAAGTGCACCCACACTACTTATTTATAATTTTATTCAGGAGAAATAGGGCTGTCACGTATTCATCCGCTTATAAAAATGTGGTTAATGACATTTACTGTCCACACAGGAAAAGTTGTGCCGAGCAGCAACCTAATCCACAGAAGGGTTAATGCTGAGCAGCAATTATGCAAATTTTGAGGCCTCACCAGGATCTTTTCCAACAGACAGAGCTAAAATTGGTTACCTGATGAATCAGTTAAAAGGTAAAGCTTTAGCTTGGGCCAATCCATTATGAGAGAGTAATAGGAGTGTGGCACACAATTACCAAGAGTTTCTTACAGAATTTTAACTTATGTTTGAACCTTTAGGCAGGGAGGATGATGCCTCCACTGCTCTGATGCACATCAGGCAAGGGAACCAGTCTACCTCGGATTATGCCATAGAATTTCGTACCCTGGCCTTCCGAGGTAGACTGGACTACTAGTGGGCTAATCTCTGCATTTAAAAAGGGACTGACACTATGCTAGATGAGATTGCTGCTAAAGATCTACCCAAAAAACTTAACGAGTTCATCACATTTGTTATGCAAATTGATAATAGACTAAGAACCAGAGAGAATACTAGAAATAAAACCAGACGTATGACTATGCCTTTAACACCCCAACTCTTCGAACCTGTTGTTCCTGACCTTCCTATACAGTCCGAACCTGAACCCATGCAGTTGGGGGTCACTAGACTGTCAGAGGCAGAGAAACAATATAGGAGAAATTAAGGTTTATGTTTATACTGCGGTAGTAATGGACATATGAGAGACAATTGTTCAATTTGTCTGAAGAAACTACCGCACCTTAAGGAGACAGGTCTTAGGTATAATGGAGCCGTTGAAGCTATTGATGGGAGACCACTCTCACAACCATTAATAACGCATGAAACCTTACCCATAAATATTTCCATTGGTGCCTTACATAAGGAAGAGATTATATTTCAGGTGATTGCATCTCCTTCTTGTCCTTTCCATGGCTTAGCAAGCATAACCCTCACATTGACTGGGCTAATGGGGAAATATTAGAATGGGGTAAGGAGTGTAATGAAAGGTATATATTGCATGTCACCAAAAGAGTGGGAGCTATAGAATTACCCACTAGTACACCTCAAAATCCTGAGATTCCTATACAATACAGTGACATTAAAGAGGTATTCAGCAAGACTCAGTCTAATACTCTACTTCCTCATAGATCATATGACTGTTCCATTAACTTACTACCCGGTGCTATGCCACCTAAGGGAGCAGTCTATGCTCTATCTCCTCAGGAGAATAGTGTAATGGAGGGATATATTAAGGATTCAATGAATAAAGGCCATGTACGAAAATCATCCTCGCCTGCTGGTGCAGGATTCTTTTTTGTATCTAAAAAGGATGGTGAGTTGCGCCCATGTATCGATTACAGGGCATTGAACAAAATCACCATTAAGAACGCCTACCCCATTCCTCTTACTGCTGAATTATTTAACAGACTCCAGGGCGCTAAAGTGTTTCCTAAGCTTGACCTTAGAAGCGCTTACAATTTAGTAAGAATCAAGGAAAACCATGACTGGAAGACTGCATTTAATACCAGAAGTGGACACTATGAATATCTAGTGATGCCATTCAGGTTGTGCAATGCTCCAGCGGTTTTCCAAGATTTCATTAACGATGTACTCAGGGATTATATTTACTTGTTTGTCTTGGTCTATCTGGATGATATCCTTATATATTCTCCTGACCTCCAGTCTCACCACGATCACATTAAACAAGTTCTGCAAACCTTGTTAAAAAAACAACTTTATTGTTAATTGGAAAAATTTATCTTTGACCAGTCTGAAGTACAGTTTTTAGGGTATGAAACCTCGGGGTTTCAGATGGATCCTAAAAAACTAGAGTCTGTTCTACAGTGGCCTTTACCAACTGGTTTGAAAGCCATTCAAAGGTTCATTGGTTTTGCCAATTATTACAGAAGATTTATAAAAGGGATTTTCTTCAGTAATAGCCCCCATCTCCAATATGACACGCAAGGGGGCTAGTAGTACGATATGGTCTAAGGAGGCTATTGAAGCCTTTCAAACTCTCAAACAGCGGTTTGCCTCCACCAACATATTGATACATCCTGACACCAGTAAGCCTTTCATACTGGAGGTTGATGCTTCAGAGACAAGGGTAGTTCTCTCCCAGAGGGAGAGCCAGGAAACTCTGTTACATCCTTGTGGTTTTCTAGAAAGTTGTCTCCTGCTGAGCGCAATTACGATATTGGCAATAGAGAATTGTTGGCCATTATTCTAGCTCTCAAGGAGTGGCGACATCTTTTAGAGGGTTCCAAGGACCCCCTTTTGATCATTACTGATCACAAAAATCTGGCTTACATAGGATATGTTAAGCAATTATCTTCTAGACAAGCGAGGTAGGTGGTCTCTATTTCTTTCTCGCTTTAAATTTTCTTATCACTTACAGACCTGGTTCTAAAAATGTTAAGGCCGACGCCTTGTCCAGGCAGTTTGATACGGAGGCAATACTAGAGAAAGAAAAGTCCCATATCATTCCCACGGAATGTATCATTGCGTCCACTGTCCTTTCATTGTCCTCTCCACTGGTTGGCTCCATCATGGAAGCTCAGTCTCAAGCGCCCTGCAGTAAACCTCAGGACAAACTGTTTGTTCCATTGGGGGAGAGGGTTAATATCATGAAGGTGTTTCACGACCATGTGTCTGCTGGTCACCCAGGTATTAATAAATCCACTTCAGCTATCATGAGGTCATTCTGGTGGAATTCCCTCAGGAGGGATGTTAAGGAATATGTGCAGGCTTGTTCTGTTTGTGCGGTTTCCAGAGTGCCTCAAACTCCCTTGTGACTTGTTACAACCTTTTCCTATTCCTGAGCTCCCATGGTCCCACTTGTCCATGGACTTCATTGCTGAACTTCCTAGTTCTAACAGTTATACCACCATTCTCATGTAGACCTTTTTTCTAAAATGGCTCATTTTATTCCTCTCAACAAATTGCCGTCATCTCAAGACCTGGTACTAATCTTTTATACGAGAAATTGTCCGTCTGCATGGCATTCCTCACAATATAGTATCTGACAGAGGTTCTCAGTTTGTGTCTCGGTTTTGGAGGGCCTTCAATAAACAATTAGGGATTGAATTGCCTTTTTCATTCTCTTACCACCCCCAGACCAATGGTACAGCTGAGAGGGCTAACCAGTCCTTGGAATTATACTTGCATTGTTTCGTTAATAGCACTCAAGACAATTGGTCCGAATTACTACCATGGGCTGAGTTTGCTAGAAACAATGCTGACTATGACTCCTCTGGGCATAGTCCATTTTTTGTTAATAATGGTCGGTATCCTACTGTCCTACCGGCTGTTTTTTTCTGACACGGCTATTCCTGCTTTGGATGACCGTCTATAACACATCCATATGGACAATCCCCCCCCCCTCGGAATAGAACACATCCATATAGACACCCCCCCTGGTATATAACACAGCCATATGGACACCCCCCCCCTGGTATATAAATACAGCCATATGGACACCGGTATATAACAGCCATATGGACACCACCCCCGGTATATAACACAGCATGGCGGACCCCCGTATATACAGCCATATAGACCCTCCCCCGGTACTATAACACAGTATATGGACACCCTCCCTCCTCCCCCGTATATAAACATATGATATATAACACAGCCATATAGACCCCCGGTATATAACACAGCCATATGGACACCCCCTCCCCGGTATATAACAGCCATATGGACCCCCGGTATATAACACAGCCATATAGACCCCCCGGTATATAACACAGCCCCGGTGTGGACCCAGTCTGGGCTCGGGATGACTGTGCGGTTATTATCGCAGGTCTCGGCTATTGATACATATCCCCGGTGCCCGCTGTGGATATCGCGCCGAGTAGTTACCCGTATCCTGGAGCTGTAGGATCCAGTCCCGCTCCAGATCGGTGGGGCCGCCCGGCATCTTTCCCTCACTCCCCATGACGGAGGGCCCGCTGCGAGACTTGGCTCTGTTTACACCGTGCGGCGCTGCACATCCTGGATGACGTGTCCGTGCGTGACGCAACGAAACACTTGGAACGCAAAGAACACTCGTATCTGCGTTCCAAGCCTCGTTCTCACATTGACAGGAACTAGTGTTACCCTGAAATAAGGAGCAATGTGAATAGTGTATTGTACAGGGAGGCATTCTGAGCGAGACAGCAGGAGCTGGAAAACCAACTCTTAGATTAACTAAGGTTGATAGGAATTGCAGTCCAGCAGGGGTTTGACTTGACGTTATTCGAGACGACCAAAAAAAAATCTTAAACTAAATCAACCCAAAAAATGATCCCCTTAAAGTAACCTCACTTATAACATGTGGGACAAGGCTTAAAGGATTAATGTGGATCTGAAATGGAAAATGTAAGCAGACAAATAAATAGCATGATGGTTGAAATCTAAAGTTTTACATTATTTTTTTTTAAATGCAATATATAAAATAATCCCACATACTTCGTATTTCATTCAGCCCCCATAAAAACTGAATTTTCCAGTACCCATCCTACCCTTACTCTAAGTAATGCAAAATATAAACGTATAGCTGAACTGTAACACACAGTGACTCTTACACGTGTTTTGCCACTTTAAATGCTTTAGTGTACAAAGGAGTGCCCTTCTCCATAGCAGTTGCTTTTAATGCTTTCAAATTAAACAGTGTGCTGTAAAATTAAACTTTTTATTGGCCGTTTCACATCTAGGAAGGCGCTTATGAAGCTGCATTAAAAGAACTAAATGGCAAAGAACTAAGCAGTGGGACTGTTACGGAGAACACTGAAGAAGCCACACACAGAGAATCCAGATTCCAGACACAAGTCATATCTCACCGATTGGTCTAAACTGAAGACGTGGAGTAGAGGCTTTTTATAAGCTATGCATCCCCAATCTGTACTCTTACACCAACCAGCAAACATGATTACTTTATATGGACAGGCAACATGGCCTTTGAGGAGAATGTATTATGGTTTCAGTTCTTGCACATGCAAAGTACATTGATGACAGTATCTTAGTTACATGTAACTAACAGATACCTGTACTTTTATATGCCAAGTGGAGATTTTAGGAATACTAAATTTTGGGCCTAGCAGAAATCTCGTCACAGGACTACAGGGGCTTGATCTATACACCAAAAATGGTTCATTAAAAGCTCAAGTTGTTTGGTGAATAGAGTATCCTAATATATAGCTATATATAAATAAAAAAAATATATACATATATTTAAATTCTACAAATTTATATAATATTTTTACATAATTAAGTCATTTTATTAATTACAATCTGAGGGACCTGCCTGACAACCCAGGCAGAAAGTGTAGAGAATTTAGCTTGCAAGCCCTATATTTAACCATGTAACTTTCCAGGACACCATAAAAAAAAAAAAATCTGTACATGGGGGAGGAGGGGGCCGAAGAGAAACTGTTTTACTCTGGAGACTTCACAGAACACATATTAGTGTTAATAAAACCGTAAAACATATCACAACGACAATAGTACTTTCATGGACGATATAATTGTGGTACGTTTTACTATTTTTAAACACTAAATATTTGTGTTCAGCGAAATCTCCTGAGTATAACAGTACCCACATGTACAGGTTTTATGGTGTTTAGAAAAGTTACTGAGTCTAATATAAGGCTTGACTTTCCTTTTTTCCCCCCACATAGAAATTTGCCAGATTGGTTGCCAGATGTTGTCTTTGAGACCGTATGGTAGCCCAGGAATGAGAATTACACCCGTGATGGCATACCATTTGCAAAAGTAGACAACCCAAGATATTGCAAATGAGGTATGTACAGCCTTTTTTTAGTAGCTACTTAGTCACAAACACACACACATTTTAAACACTTTTCATTATTTTGTTTTTACACTACCCACCAGCAGGGGGACTGTGACAACCCAGAAAGTCCCCCTGCTGGCAGATCGCCGGGAAGGTGAATATCTGGAGGGTCCATGCCCCTGCAGTCCCACCGCTCAATTCTTTGCCATTTAGCGAGTTAAAAATCACTTTTGTTTTTGTTTATTCAGCACTAAAGTCATGTGTCCTCAGATGTTATCTTGCTTTAGAAGTTTGATTTACTGCTTCCTTAATTGAACTTTATTCACCAACAGGGTCCAAGGCTGCTACCAGAGCAAGAGATAAATACTAATGTAAATCAGACTGTTCAATAAAGGAAGTTTGAACATTAGAAAATGTAGGCAGTCAAGACTAGGGCTGCATAATCAATGTTATTTAACTCCTAAATGGTAGATAATAGAGCTGTGAGACTAGGTGCATGATCTGTACACCAAAACCACTTTATTAAGATAAAGTAGTTTTGGTGCCTATAGTATCAGTTTAATACTAATAGATTTTAATAGCTGTAAAATGCAGCCATACCACCAAGCAATAAAACTGACAATTTGTATATGTACATGTTCTCACAGCAATCTGAGATCATGCTTTTATCACCTACTTGTTGTGTAGTATAGACTCAAAATTGTAACGCTATCGAGAGAGATCAGAGGGAATTGATTTTTAACTTTTCTAACAAAGCTTCAAGAAGTTAACCATTAAGAAATACTGAGCAGGAACATATATCTTGTAATGTATTCAAAATAGAATGAAATCAAGCATTGAGATAAAATACAAAAATGACTTTTATTAGACAAAATTTACAGCAAAACATTTACATTAACTAAAGGTAGTGTTTAGCTTTAAGTAACCACACCGATAGTAAGAAAAAAAAAATAAAAAAAAAAATATCTTGACAGCTTAAGACCCATTGGTAGTAACTTCTTCTTCCATCTCCTCATCCGCTTCCTCTGATGTCCCTGAAATGAGAATAGCACCACTTTAATAAATCATGCAAGCAAAGCACCTGAACACTACAGGATACACAAAGAGTGAGGAGGAAATGCCAGAGCTTATATCTAGCACAAAAATGTAATCTGCACTGGACTAGTCTGTTGGCAGATTAAATAGCTACAAAAGTCACCCAAGGCCACTTCATATCAATGGCATGGAGGCAGTGGTCTTGTCCTTTTAACCCTGCAATGTAAAACAATGCAGTTAAGAATCTGCAATGTATACATTGCTGAGTTAAATCCTCCTTACTTGTTGGTTTTCAATCCATACTAAACAATATTGACAGTCGCCAGAGGCGTTTCCATAGCACTGAAGCTTTTATACATACATAACGCTTGTGCATCAGGTCCCCAGTGCTCCCTTATGAATCTGGGGGAGAATGGAGGCGTAGACAGCAAGGCAGCACGAAGATTACACAAGCATCACACTGGATCCCTGGAAAAGGAGCCACTACAGATGTCCAAAAAGGTATGGAGGCCAGGTGGACTCAAAATTTGTGCGTGGGTGGGAGAGAATGTGTATGTGCCGGTCAGTGAATGTGTGCGTACCAAATCCGTGTCCTATGCATATCTGTCACTGTTCTCTGTGTGTAAATGTGTCAGTGACCTCTGGTTGTAAGAGTGTTTGTGTCAGTGATCTCTGGGTGTAACTATGTGTATATTTTCATTTTGTTACTTTTATACTTTAGATTAGTAGTTCATACACCACTCCTTACATGTACACAATATTTACATTATGGGATTAACTTTGTGACAAATGCGCCTTCCCTCAAACGTTTACCACAAACTCCTGGAGGAGTGTTGAAGCTGGCCTCCTGCACACCGACTATGGTCCAGGTCTGAGACCACGTTCGGGAGTTACCCTGCCCAGCTGCTATAAGCAGCTTTCCCTGAGTGCCCCTGGTTTAAGCACTTTCCCTTCATTCGAATGGAAGTGAACGCTAGCTCCCTGCAGGCCGTTCGCATGAACCAAACCCACAAATGGTCCTAAGTGGTACTTGGCTACAACCGCTATGGAACCAATTTCGGCAGGAGGTGACCATGCTGTTCCTGGACAACTTGGTTCAGGGTTTTGAGCAACTTTGCAACCCGCCAGTAGAGCATTTTTTTAAAGGGAAGGTGCCCGAGACTAAGGGGAACAAACACTACCTGTGAGACAGACGGAGCACCCCATATTTCAGACAGGAGCTCCCGAAAGTTGACGTGCAAAAGCACAACGCCCTGGAACTATTTTGGGCATAGGACCACGTGTGTGGCAGGCCAGAAGTTGAACATGGTGGACCTATTGTCGTCGTCCCTCTCCCCCTCCCCTGAGCAGCAGATGGAGGCCATAAAAGACAATGGGGGAAAGGGAGAGGGGACACCTATTGTCCTCCCCCCACCACCGAGCAGTGGCTGGGGGTGGAAAAGGACCTATTGGGCGTAGGGGGGGGGTGGGAAACAATAGGTGTGTGTGTGTCCAGTCCCCCCAATTATCCTTTAGGGCCCCTACCTGCTGCTCGGAGTGGGGGCCAGGGGTAGAAGGGTTTTTGTTTTTTTTGAAACAGTTAGCAGCCACAGAAGAAATAGTTAATTTAAATTAACTTTTACATAAAAGCCGAATATATCTGGGTGAAGGTTGGTCAGGTTTCTAACTTAGAAATCATAATTAAGGAGTACATGGTTATAAAAATTCCATTCCTGCAGAATAAACAAACAATGCTAATTTGCCCAAATTAGAATACTGAACTTTTACCCAGATATACTTACCTGAATTAGGGATAGTATCTTTAATTGGTAAAGCTAATCTGCAAGGTTAAATTGGATGGCTTATTCTTGGTTTTTATTGGATGGAAGGACTGATTAATTGATCTGATTATTCCCCAGTGAGAATTGTAACCAACAGTGTGAAAGTTAATTCAGTGAGTCAGAGTGTCAGCAAGTTTTTATTGCCTTGTGCTCACTGAGAGATGCAGTGTCTGTCTTGTGTTGAGGAATGTCTAAATGACCAAGTTAAATTGCTCTTTAATGAATCCTACGGAAATTTGGATTTATACATTTGTTGCCAAAGTGAACCGTTTGTATTGTGTAAAAAAAATAAAAAAAAAACATTGCCATTTCGTATATTTTATACTTAATTCACTGATTGTTACCACGCATGTTGAATATTATTATGTCACAATAAATTATATTTTTATAATTAGTTTGTGATTAATGTGTGAAACATAAATCCTCTAATAAACGTACTCCAGGATCTATGAGAATTAAAATATTGGGTAATTCTCAGCGTTAAATCAATAATCAGGGGAACAGTGCCAATATATACATTTTTATATGATAAATTAATTTTTGATAATGTTTATTAAATTTTTTATATTTATCACCCCATAAATATCCTCATAGTGTCATCCAGTCCCTGGAGGGAATAGAGCTAGCCCCCTGTACTGTTCCAGGACGGAGAGGCTCCAGGAGCGCTAAGGTTTTCCCCTGTTCCAGCTAGGAATCTATCCTTGGCGGAGGTACAGGGAGCTCCGCTACAAACTAAAATATCAGAGTCTACATGTTTCATTTGGAATTTAAATTAATAGAAGGTACTTTTGCTACGCAGTGGTACTTCTCTTCAAAAGGCTGAGGAACACTGCCATGTAACACTGTCCCAAAACTATGTTAAATGTAATGGTTATCTACAAGTCTCTTGGTGGGACTAAAAGGTTGATTGACCATATGCACTAGCCAAATACTGATGTAAATACTTTGGATTACAAGAACCCGGGTGCTCCCTCTAACTTTTGGCGAGAGCACCAGGGAATGGAAAATAAATTATCTATTTACTTTCTGACGACATACTGAATTTTATGATACATGGAGAACAAACTCCAAATTTCCGCACTGTCAAACCATCACTTACCTGGTACTCTGTCTTTACCAGGAATCTGACCTGACTGCAGCAAACCTTTCAGTCTTTCTACTTCAGCTAGTGTCGTAGCATTGGCAATGGCATTCTGCAAGATATGACATAAGGCAGACATTCACTTAATGAGCCATTTTATCCCACCCACAAAAGATAAAATACACTACAGATCTTACACTGCGCAATATAAAACTTCCCAGATTATATATAGGATTGTCAAAATAAAGTAGGGGATGTGGATAGTGCTGCTTCATTCTATGGTTTTTCCTGATTCACTTCCTGCACTGACGGTCTAACCCAAGGTGCATGTATATGGCTGAAGGATCCAGTCATATACTAAAAGGTAGAGATGAGGTTTTCCTCATTTTCTTTTTAAACATATTTCATTTACAAAAGTTGATAATCAGTATTTAAGGAAATAGTTTTGAGGAGACACCTGTCCTTAATGCAAACAACTTTTTCTTAAGTTATTTTGGTGTATAGATCATGCCCTTGCAACCTCACTGCCTAATTCTATGCCACTAAGGGGTTAAAAATCAGTGTTCGGGCAGCCATAGTCCCATAGCTTCCTACCTCCTGACCTGTTAAAAGCACGCTATAGCCTGCAAAAGCTTTGTGTGCCTGAATTAAGACAACTTTAGCTTAAAAGAGCAGAGGATTAGAACTTCTAAAATAAACATACTATTCAATAAAACCTGACTGAAAATGCAACTTTTTTTATGGAGGCTGTATGAGCAGAGCCTTAGAAAGTGTGACTAGTTGTGCATAAACAGCGATTATTTCCTAACTGAGAAATGAGCATGAGACTGCAGGGTCATGAGCTATACAACAAGAATGCTTCATTAAACTAAGTTTATTTGGTGCTTGAGTATCTCTTTAAACTGGGCCAAATCGAGACTCTGCTCATTTAAGCAAGGCCCTCACTACTGCGTATTTAGGTTAGTAAACAGTATCCTGTTGTAGTTACATTTACTGGTTGTCCATCCATGTGCACTGCTGTTAGAGCTTTAAAAAACATGGGATCAAAACGGCTTATTGTATTAGCCAACTTGTACCTTAATGGCTTCAACATCACCAGGGGAAGGCCCAGATTTCTTCTTTTCTGTTGGTAAGCCAGCACCTGGAGTAAATCTAAAATCAGAAACACAATAAAGATACTCGAGTAAGCACCCATAACAAAAGATGTATCAGCTTCTCTCATCTTTCAAACGCAAGGCCATGAAAGTGATGTAAAAATCAGTGTAGTATCGTTTCTTTGTTAACAACTGATACAAAGAAATCTCATCAGAAGCACCTTGTTTTAATATATACATATTTATTGTATAAAAGATCTGTCATTTTGTGATGAATGGTGCATTTGAGCAACCACATGACCCCATTTAGTCCTGAAATAGCAGGAAAAATATATAACAAAAGTGTTTTATACATTACTTAACTTCATTCTTGCCACCACTTACAGCAAACCAGTTACAACCCTGTATACTACCACGTGTATTGCCTCACCCAGCCTAACTACAGTGCATGCAGAGCATCCATCAATGTGTACAAGGTGCTTGTGAACGAGAGTTCTGGTTTTCAGACAGAAATTCGTATCTTACGTTTTTGATCTCTTGGCAATATCCTTTGCAAGCTGTGCACCCCGCTTGCCCTTGAACATATTCGCTGCCTCCTCTCGCTCCTGAAGCAATACCATACACAGAGTTAAATAAAAACCAGCAAGAGCGAATGCAATAATTGGGCCATTAATGGCGCAGTTCTTGTTTTGTATCCAGAAAGGAGTAGAACAATCAAATTAAAATGATTAGAGCGACATAGAACACTTTGTTCCACAACAATGCCATATTACCATTTTACAACACACCAACCTCCTTTTACTGTGCTAAAGGTTTAAATCCACATAACATGGACCACCAGAAACAAATAGGAATGCAAAAGTGCCGACCTATTGTCAATTTGAACTCTAATGGACTATTTCTACAAACAAGCTTCTTTTCCAAGTAATAAAGCACATAGATTGCGTATTACTAGACCCAACCTTTATTTTAGTGTTTCATTAGCAACTGAAGACGTTATATTAAAAAAAATAAAAAAAATTATATATTATATATATATATAAAAAAAATTCTGTTTTAAGCTGCGCTTACCAACCTCAAATTTAGTAACTAAAAGAGGATAAAAACAAAAACACAAATGGAACATAAATCACAATATTCAACTTCATAAAGAGAAGACAAAAACCAGGAACATCCAATATTAACTTACTGCAAGCCTGACTTTCTGAAAATCCAGTACTCTGACTTGTGGAACTTTGTATACTATATACAGTCTGTAATGTCTCTTATTTATAACTGGATTTCTTAATAGGCTGAAGGGGAGAAAAGACATATGTGGTTACAACAATGACCAACAAAAGCATTGTATTTATAATCTAAAAAAAACATCTAAAAGCTCTGGTCACTTACCTGAGATAGGTGAGATTTTTAATTGTTGCAAGGTTATCCAGATCTCCCTAAGGAGATATAAAAGTAGTGTTATTTCAAGTACATTCTTGCACATTGACAAGAAGGAAAGAATAGTTAAATAAACACACACACACACAACCCCCTGCACAAATTTCACTTTTCTGAAAGTCTTGAGCAACAGGTGCAGTCGGACATTTCTTCAATACAGTGTCCATGTTGAAGGCAACGAAAAAAATAAAAGGCAGATCAGGAATTTACAGGTTGATTACCTTTGCTTAATAAAACTGATTCATTTGAGCGATTTTAACATTCTACATTTTAGTGATTTGAAGTGGTCATGGAGTTTGTAGTCTGTATGTGCAGTACATATGGAGATTAAAAAGACACGGCACTGCCCAAAAAAGACAAATCACTTTTTAGTAGGCAAGAGAAAACATGTATGCATTTATTCATTTTTTAATTGAGGGATATTTAAAAACAGCTGATCTTTTGCCTTAAGAGCAGTACTGAAAAGTGCTTCAAACTATTATTTTGCCTTCTTTTGGATAAACAGCAAAAACAGATGTGAGAAACGCTGAACTTGATCTCATTTCAGCCTATGTAACCCAACGCAGACTTTCTGTGGCTGCCCAATTACAGACTTTCCAATGCATCTCAATGAGAAGTCTTTGCTTCAGAGGCCCGAGCAATTGCTTGCCTCTTGAGTTTAGATCCACCGAATTAAATTTTCACAAAGTAACCGGACAGCCAGGGTGATGTAACAAGGTTAATAAAAGTACCAATTTATATTAAAAATCTGTACTTTTAGTAGAAAGCTGAAATGCTTTAGGTTGTCTCGAGTGTCCCTTTAACACAGGCTTCCCCAAACTTTGGCCCTCTAGATGTTGCTGAACTACAACTCCCATGATTCTCAGCCCATTTCAATCATAGAACCATGGGAGTTGTAGTTCAGCAACATCTGGAGGGTCAGAGTTTGGGGAAGCCTGCTTTAACCCCTCTTCTCCCAGATGTCTGCTTCCCAGTTTGATACAACAATCTACTGGAGTTAAAGTGTGAAAGTGACAATTATATAGTTCAATAGCACTATAGTATTGTATTCCTAACACTATATGCTGGATTAAATATTTAGCTCACGAGTCCCCCTCAGAGTGGAGTTAAAAGGTAGCTTCACTTACCTTTCCTCTCTTACCTCGGCTTGCCAACCTCCATGGCTGAGCTCAATTTTGATCTCAGTATATCATAAAGGAAAGCATTGGGAGGCTATTGCACATGTGAAACAAAACGCTGTGTTGCACCAATCAGCATCTCCTCATAAAGATGCATTGAATTAAAAGCATGTGTTACAGCACAGGCATCAGAAGCACCTCTAGTGGCCGTCTAAGTGAGGGTCACTAGAGGAGTTACCGGTCAGCAATGTAAAGACTGCCTTTTCTCTGAAAACAGTGTTTACATTGAAAAGCTTGCAGGGACATGCTCTAGATACTAGCATATTAAGCTGTAGTGGTTCTGGTGACTATAGTGTCCTTTTAACCAAATGGGAATAACTGTGCAATGTCTTGTATCAGTTTAGAACAGGTATTACAGATTTTCTTTCGACTTACCAATTCCATGATGTTATTGTTTGTGAGAATCAATTCAGTTAAGTTTGGCAATACATGCTCAAGACCTTCTCCTATACGGCTAAAACAAGAATGGGGACACGTTAAGAAAAAATAAAAAATAAAACTCAAATTTCAGCCCTCCCAATTCAAATGCTAATATGTCATCATATATTGGCTAGGTTAAGGAAAAACTGAATTTTACTTACCGTAAATTTATTTTATGTTCATATTAAAGGCAGTGTACAACAACAGGGATATCCACCACTATACAGTAAAAAGATAAGCTCCTAATACTCCTCAGCAGGTATAAAAACCCCAAACCAACTCAGAAAATACACAAGCCAAGAACTGCAAAACCTTTTTTTTAGATCTTTTAATCCCAAGAAAACTACATTTACTGTAAGTAAAATAAGATTTTTTTTCCCCATTGGGATATAAGAAGGGATAAACAAGCAATCCCAAATGGCCAGGTAGCTATTTTACTATAGCTTGAAGCACCTTGCGCCCAAAACAGAATCCTCAGGCAGTGGAATTTACTTTCCTTGCGGATAACAGAATTCTGATAGAATGTTGGAAGCACAATTTCCCGATTAGAATTGTTCACCAAAGAAAACCCAATTGAGAAAAAAAGTTTGAAATTTTTATCCATAAGAAAACCAGGTAGGGATGATGCAATGTAAAGCCTGAAATTCCCCAAACCGTTTTGCTGACGTAACGGCCACCATGGCATGCGCTCCAATGCTGAAGATGAAAACTGGGAAGAACCAGACCCACCTAGAATTCATTTTCCCTGTAAGAGCAGAGCCATCTTCGACCTTAGCCGCCTCACCTTGCCCTTGGAGAGCATAAAAATATGAGTCCCTACCTATTCTGCTAAGCGCAGGCAGAGAACTGGAGTTTTTGGGTAGGTTTAGGGTTTTATACCTTGTGGGAAAAATAACAAATTCTTCTGTTTTTTCCTATGAAGACATGGTGGATATCCTAGTTGTTGTGCACTGTCTGTAAACTAGAAGGAAAATCTAAATTTTAAAGTATGGATAATAGTTTAGTGTAAAGCAGAAGATGTTCCATAATTGCTTTAAAGTGTTTCCATGCATATACACATTACAGAAAAATAGAAAACACCAAGTTAAAAGGGATTACAATGGATGTTGTAATTTACATTACATTCCTGGCTATGGAATATCAGACAAACAATGCAAGTTAAAGGGACATTATAGATACCAAAACCACTACACCTAAATGTAGTAGTTCTGGAGTCTATAGCCTGTCTCTGCAGATTTAGCACTGTAAACATGCTTTTTTTGTCCCAAGTACAATTCAGACAGCAGCTAGAGTGACTTCCTGGACAAGGTTCTGTAATCATGCTGAACTCTATCCATAGAGATGCCTCTCTACGAGAAAATACAGACAGGGGCAGCACATGATTTGCCGTGCATGGGCACTAGCCTCCCAATGCATTGGACTGGCAGAGACCACCAAGATAGGATTGATGAGCTTAGCCAAGGAGACAGGATTGGCAGTGCTGATAACAGCAAGATAAGCATCATTCACTTCCACTGGACAGTTCTGCTTTCAGGTGTAGCCATCATTGCAGATAAGTGATTCTTCCATTAATACAATTAAAAGCTCATTTTTAAAACGTCTTTCCATTTCACCTGTTTCATGCTGAGAGCAGTCAATCATGTTTTTAGTGGGTATAAACACTCTAAGACACAGCTCTCCTGCATAACAGATTAAAAGTCCCTAAAACTTTACATTGGCTTTATGGTATGTAAATAAAACATATCTGCTCTTGCTCTCCATTCGCACATTGCCTGTTCAAAGCTCCTGCAATAAATAATTCTGTCTTACTCTGTCCATGCGGCTCTCAAACAGAGCCTGTCCATCTCCCCTACTTCACCTTGTAGGTATTGCTTTTCCTTAGGCTGTAGGCAGGCAGGATAGAGACAACCAAAGGAGGGTTCCCTGATAGACACGCAGAGAACAGTACTCTTCACTGTGCCGATTGGGACAGACTGACACGGGGGAGAAAGGTTTTTTTTTCTTAAATGATCAATTTTACAGGGTGGGGGAGGATTCCTTTTCCAAGCACTGCCAGCATGCTATGCATGAAGACAGACATATTTTATGCACAGAATTAACATTATGTAGCCCGTAACAGTTCTGGGTTTTCCAAGTCATGTGTGCTGAGGGTGCAACCATCCCCGGCACACATGTTCAAATTACTCAGTACGTGCAGTGTTGAAATGGTCATGGTGATTTAAGTAGCACTTTAATATTACATTTGATTTATCATGACAGATACCCGTTAAATGAGGAGAATTAACTTTTGGCAAAAAAAATTAATTAAAATTAAACCAATCACATACTTTTAGGTGGATATTCAGAAAATCTTGTAAAGTGTTCATACTAATCAGAATGACAACACTTACCATATCCTATTGTTGTTCAATAACATGGTTTTTAGCCTTTTTAGCAGAGGAAAGCCATCCAACTTTCTAATCTCATTATCAGAGAAATCAATTGTATCAAACTGGTCCAATGTTGCACCTAGGTTTTCAATTACTGGGATCTTGTAGCCTGTATTAGGGAAGGAGAAATTATACACAAATATAATCTGCGTTATCTATAACATTTCACTGTCAAGTTAAATTATGCAGACATGATGCTAAACGTTAAAACAGCACTTCCCTACAAAATATTTTTGGGAACAAAAAAATTATTATTTTTTAAATACTCATGATTGTTGTTGCACGACTGGTGATAGTCTGTAAACGCCAGCTGGTGCTATTTTAAAAACGTTCATCATATGGGGCAACAGTGAGAACCAGAGGACTTCGGAGTTAAACCGTTGCAAAACTCTTCAACCCAGAACATAGTACAGCGCATGGTCACTCATGCTCCCATAACATCAATGAGCTGAAGTTGTTACGGTTAAGAGTATTCTACTAATTTGCAATCCTACTATGTTCTAACCCAAGATGAGCCCATTGTAACATTTAGTGTGCACATAACAGAACTTTTTAAAAAGTATCTTTTCCAACATACACAAGTGAACATATATTTGAATGGGTGACGCCAGGCCACATTACAACTTAGCATCATTGAAAAGTAATGGTGCATAGGGTATCTTAAAGGGACACTCCAGGCACCCAGACCACTTGTGCCCATTGGAGTGGTCTGGGTGACAACTCCCACTACTCTTAACCTTGCAACTGTAATTATTGCAGTTTTTTATAAACTGCAATAATTACAGTTGCAAGGTTAACTCCACCTCAAGTGGCTATCTACTAGACAGCCACTAGAAGGTACTTCCTGGATCATAGCACAGGAAACCTATGCTAGAGCGTCGCTGGACGTCCTCACGCGGTGTGAGGACCTCCAGTGTCACTCATTTTCCCATAGGAAAGCACTGAAATGTATTTTCAATGCTTTCCTATGAGGAGCGCTAATGCGCAATGGAGGAAGAAGCAGCGACGTGGGACATCGTTAATCCAGCCTCCAAATCCTCTAGTGGCTGTCTCATTGACAGCCGCTAGAGGCGCTTGCGTGCTTCTCAGTGTAAAAATCACAGTGAGAACACGCAAGCATCCATAGGAAAGCATTCTGAATGCTTTCCTATGAACTGACTGAATGCGCGCGCAGCTCTTGCCGCGCATGCGCATTCAGCCCAAGAGTTGGATCGGAGGCGGAGAGCTCCCTGGCCAGCGCTGGAATAGAGGTAAGTTTAACCCCTTTCCTCGCCATCCAGCCCAGCAGGAGGGGGACCCTGAGGGTGGGGGCACCCTCAGGGCACTATAGTGCCAGGAAAACGAGTATGTTTTCCTGGCACTATAGTGGTCCTTTAATGTGACGGCGGTGAATTACAGTTGAACAGACATATAGCGCAAATTCCAGGTTTTGTTTACGTTTTTTTTTTATCAGAACGTGCACTATTGACTCCGTCCTGAAGGGGTTAACTGTAAAACCAAAACTTAAACTCTCCTTCATTTCCCAACACTTTTCAATTCGCTAATATTCGCAGTTTAGTAAATAACCCCAAATTAGTTAGTGTTCACTTACAGCCTGTTATAGCCGTTTTAAGCCAACAAATGGCCTATGGCTGAAACGGTCGAACCTTCCTCGGCCGGTCCCATCGCATGCAAAGCCTGCCGGTGTAATGAACTCACAGCCAGGCCCGGCCTATAGACCATGCTCCCCCCATGCCATGCCAGGCCTATAGACCATGCTCCCCCCCATGCCAGGCCCGCTCTCTCCCAGTATTACCTCTCAGGTCCAGCTCCCGGTCCCGCACGGCGTTGGTATACTGCGCCGCCTGTTCGATCAGATCGGCCGTGAGTTTCACCATGTTTGTTGCCGC